TTTGGCTTTTTCGGACCATCTTTATTTCTTGATTTTGAGCCCCGAAAAGATTCGCCAAGTACATTTGGTACTACTATGCGTCTACTATATAAAGACCAAGTTGGAAATTCGTGGGAATTTTCTGGAAGGAGATCCGATATTTACACAGCTGAAAAAATTTTATTTTTGACCGCAAATTTTACCTAGCTTGCGACTCAAGTGTATCTTTGGTGGTCTTTTTGTAGGGTCCACTTTTAACTATTTTTCGAAAATATTCCGACCCAACTTTATCTCTGATATATGCTTTGGTTTTTTTTGCATGTATAAAACATGCCATAAATAGCGTGCCTCCTTGTGAAGTTATACATAGCCAATATCAACTTTCGATGTTGCTTGTTTGTCTAGCGTTCTTGAGGTCCTTTATGAATTTATTATCACGCTCGACGACTTCTCCGCCAGCAAACGTTGGAGTTCTGAGTAAAAAGCGCCTGAATACTTAATTATTCTTGCCAATTGTCGCATACTTCACTCTTAAAAGCCCTTAATATATGTTCCAGACAAAGTATTCAAATTGTGCACACGAGATTTTGCATAAAAAAGGTTCTAATTTTCTCGACAAAAAAGACTAACATTAGAAAATTGAACTGACATGATGCGTTAACTTGAGTCATATTTATGTCTATGAGTTTGTTGCGAATAGCAAATAGATATGTCTCTACAGAAGAAAAGAAAAAAGAAAAAGTTGTATTATACCAGCCATTTATTACTCAAAAGAAATGGCCTATTGACTAATTGCTTATCGTATACGCATGCGAGGTATTATAGCCATTTAGCAATCCCGTACATACTATGTAGTTAGCTTTTGAAAAAAGGTTCCACACTTTTGTCCAATTTTTTGTCCATTGTGAATACAGGGTGTCCCAAAAAAATGTTTAGAACGTTAATATCTCTCTTACCAAGAAGTCTTTTGCCTTGCTTCAGGTACCGTTTTGTACAGCTGGCTTCAACTTAGATTTCCATTATAGAACGAATCACCCACTCTCTTCATTACTGTAGGGTTACGGTAGAAACTTCAAAGAGGGTTTTGAACCATGAAAAACCATAATTTGCCTCAGAAAGGAAACAAAACAGCTTGAAAACTTTTATACTAGGCTAATTAGAGTTGCTGATTATAACTGTAAAGTTCACAACTTATTATGATGCTTCATTGAAGAGTTATGCCAGGTGAGAGGTAGCGGCCTTTTTTTCAATGTTCCTATAAAGTGCGATTACACCGTTTAGAAAGCTTCGTAATCTTGTGAATAGTTGAGTATTGAACTCAGCGTCTATAAAAACCCTATTACACAAGTTTTCACAATTTTTTGAAAAATTTTGAAACGGCAGCTTTTTCCACATTGACACCATATGTTTCAAGTTTCTACCGTAATCCTACAGTAATGAAAAGAGATGGGTGATTCGTTCTATAATGCAAATCTAAGTTGAAGCCAGTTCTACAAAATGGTACCTGAAGCAAGGCAAAAGACTTCTTGGGAAGAGAGATATTAACGATCAAACGTTCTAAACATTTTTTGGGACACCCTGTATAAATCAAATTCGACTTAGTTAAAATGCAAAGAGTCGCGCATTTGAGTTTGAAAAAACTCATTTGCTCTTACAACTTTGCATTCCTTGGTCTCTGTGCTGTCTAAACGGCTTCGTTAGCAAGCGGCTTTTCTCGAGATTGAATTTACTCCTAGTTGCTTTATAGCAGTAATCTCTACGAAAAAGAGTATCGAATTAATCGAAAGTTTTATTGAAGTACAGAACAATCTGGCAGATCAATATTTTCATCTACATTGTTGTTCGGAGGTTCAATGTTTTGCTTTTTACAAACCTTGCACGAATATTCTGGAATGTTTTTCTATTTATTTTGTTTATTAAGTATTTATTTATTATTTATTCTAATTTATTTTATTAGTTTTTTAGAACATTTTTCTTGCTTTCGCAAAATCCGGGATAAGTTTTTTAAAGTCAAGCAGAAGATCTCTATTTCAAAGCTAGAAAAATCTTTGATCATTCGAAGATTAGTCTGAGAGTAGGTGCGTGAATACATCGCCGCCTCAGCTTAGCTCAAAGTCTCATTTCTGATCCATAAGAAGTGTACGGGCTCCACAGCACACTCCTCTCTCCTCGTAGGATTCCTGTTATCATGCTTCTGAATTTTCAAACTCATGGTGTCGCTTTCATTTTTGATAATATCCTGCTTTCTGCAGATATTGCTAAATGACATAAATAGATTATATCTATTAATATCAAACTATTGATCTTTGCTAGTTTGCTTCTGTGCACACAATCTGCAAAAATCGCACTATGGCCCGTAGTAAACCCCACTTCACTTCAGATGATCTCAACTGAGGGGCTGAGTTGAGGTATTTAAGATAAACTGACCAGCGGTCACTCCCACATGCTTAAGAATGCGACCTGATCTGAAGGGTTAGCGTCAGGGCATGTGCCTGGATGAATTCACCTGAAATCCGTAAAAGCAGCCTCGATTTTGAGATGAATTGACCGAAATAGCGTGAAAGGGATGAGACGCAGAGAAAAATCCCGTAGGTTGCTCGTAAGTAACTTACGGGACATCGTACTTGACGTATTGTTGCAGTACAAGAATGCGCAAAACTGCACAATACCGGTGCCCAAGAGGAAAAGGATCAATGAACAGCAAGAAAACAAGAGAATAGGTTTTTTCCGTTTCGTATAGTTTTAGGTTATTTCTACAAAAACTACTTAGAGCGACAATCTCTATTTATTTCCACTCGATTTTCTCCCTACTTCCTCAATTTTTGATGAAATCTTAGTTTAAAAAACGCAGTTCTGTTTTGTGCATTGTTTTGGTTTGTGGATTCCTTGGTGGCGGCCGCCATCGATTTTCTTCGATAGTGGCCGCTATCAAAGATTACTCAGTGATGCGCAAAAATTTGCCATTGGCTTTCGCCACCACCGTCATGCGGGCTGAGTACCAAGCACATACCTGTTTGACCAAATCTGCACAAGCGATGTAGGTGTTTCCCTTTTGATAGCGCGCTAGATTTTTATACCTGAAAAGCGACCCGCATCTAGATCATAGCTCGCGGGATGCTGGACCGAGGCGCCCTACGATCAACTCAGGTCCGTCTCAGGGCAGATCCCCTGATGGAGGGTTTACTACGGGAAAGCATTTTTTCGAGCATATGTGGTTTACACTGGCTTGACTTGTGCCACTGAATTCACATTCGCTTTACACGTATAAAATGTTGGCTACAGAGTTTGTAGATGATCCTTTCTTAACACATTGACGCCCATGCAGATTTTTAGCTGTCTGCCTTCTGGGACTAAGCTCTTTTACGGACCAGCCCACATTTTTCAACTATGATCACGCATATTGCCTTCTTCAGTACGCCTACAGTAGATCTGAAAGGCTGGCAAAAAAGGTAGAGGTCATCCCTAGATTCACTGCAAAAGGAAGCTCGCGGAGTGAGTTTATCCCAGAATAGTGGTCATTTTAACAAAATTCAAGCCTTGACACACATGGTATGTCAAGCGGTCTCACGCGGTAGTCATGGCTTGACACACCATGTGTGTCAAGCGGTCGTCAATGTGTTAATAAGCGAGCACTTTAGTGAACATTGAAGATGAAACTGCTACGAAATTTGGAATGAATCTAGATTTAGATTATAGAACATTAACTCCGTTTCTTCCATTTCTCTGAACGAAATGCTGTTGTGGTCATTGAATGAAGGCCGAAATTCTGAGCTCATGGTGCCTTAATTTGGCATTTTTTTTCATATCACTGAACATCTCGAAGAGCTTTGATAAGGAGTGACTAGATTGAACAAAGTGCCTTTTTTGCCCCTTTCAGCTGCTCTTTAGTATTTTTCGAAATTTTTCCAGAAGTTTTTACCTTTGCAGAAGTCGTGTCATGAGGAACCTCGAATGCCGAGAGCTCCGGATTTGGAAATTTTGTAATTTGGATAAATAAAAATCTAAAACATAAAAAATAGACACCAATTTTAGCAAATTAGCGTTCATGCTTTGAAGCATAGAATTTTTGAATTTTTAATTTTGGTTCAGTCATTGGTGCGCCAAATACACTCATAATAACTTCCCACGCGAGAGTTACACAATTGGGATGGGAAAATTCCATTATGAAAAAAATTTTTGCATTACGCTTTGTTTGATAGACCTATTGCTGTCAAAAGTCTTCCAGAAAATTTAAAATAAAACTTGAAAAATTGCCAGTTTTGGGCATGGTAAAACCGTAGGCTTGAAACATGTTTCACAAGCATAATCTTTGGGGCGAGGAAGCAAAGCTGCATCGAATAGTTTTTGAAGCGTTCTACCATTGTTTCATGTGTCTTTCTGGGAGGTCGAAGAAACAAAAGGAATTTGAGTGATAAATATTTCCGAATAGTCACTCGTATCCAAAGCAGAGCAGAGTTTCTCAGAACTGTGATTGATTCATCGACGGACCCAGTGGGTTTCCGCCACCCAGTAGGTAAGAAAAACAGTGCCATTGTGCTGGATATTCACAAAAAGCACTGCTGGGCTCGTTATCACATTAGCTTCTTGTATACCAATTACGTAGGTCCAGCCTACACACTGGGTAGGGGAAGCCACTGGGTTCGTTGATGAATACGGCCATTACAAGGAAAGTGTGTTAATACTGATGTTGCTACACAATGAAGTATTGGGTAAGCAGGATAAAGCCATTACTCCCAATTACTCACTATAGCATCTCTTCTCTTGCCTGCTATCTCTTAATCGATTTGTTGCATCTACGCCCTCGAAAATGTAGTGATTAGCTCAAAAAAACTGGGTCCGTATATTGCCACTTCCATGTTTAACAGTGAAAAAATCGAGGAAAAAACCACAAAAGGAACTACTATAAGATTCCCATTTCTTATTTTCTTCACTTTGTCGAAGCTTGTCTCTTCCACGTTTCATTTTTGGTGATGTTACCCTGTAAATACTTACTGCGTGAGCTTGTGTAACATTGCAGTACAATGGATTATTTGGAGAATCTGTTAGCTATTCGAGCCGCATTCACTTTCGATGAGCAAATCAGGTACATGGGTTGGGGACTTCTGCTTCTATGGATGCTATCAATCACATACATGACGAGAGAATTCTGGTTAGTCATTGAGATTGTACGTCGATAAAATAATCATTTTACCTGGAGAAGGATAGATTATTACTGTCAGATCAAAGTATTGATTGATTTGAGAGAGTATTGATAAGGATGAATCCACTATTTTTGCAGAACTTGAGCTTTTTGAAAAGAAACTTTGTCGTTTCAAAAGAATTATGCCCAATATTCCCACAAAATTTTCACGACTCACTTCATAGATATCTACTAAACCCATCGATAGCGCAAGATAAATTTGTATAGCGTCTTTATTAGGTTTCCATCAACGTTTGGGACGAATTCTCCTCGCCAAGAACAGAAATCGCCACCTCGGACCCGAAAAAAACCTATTTCACCGCAGTGCTTCAGCACGACAAAGTGAGTTTCAATCTTAATAGTTAGGCATTTTTTCGAGCAAGTATATTTCCGAATTAATAGAGACTTTCCAATCGTCTAGTCAACACTTAAGCATAATTTTTCGCCAGTTATCATCGTCAGAAAAGCTTCCTCAAAATATACACTTTATGAGTAGAAATTAGTTAGAAAAAATTTATAGTAGGACTATTTATCGAAACATCTAATGCAGAAAAGTCTCTTTCTTGCTTCTCTCAGAGTAATTCACATTGTGTGCGTCAACTATAGTAGGAAATGATAGAAGAAAACATAGGGTTCTTTTTCGTAAGTAGCCTCGAACTTACGTGAACAATTTTGGTTTTTAAGTCTAACCTTTCTAGTTGAAGTTTTTCAAGCAGAAATATTGATGATAAGATGTCATGCACAGTCACCTTTAGTACGTTTATGATATATATGTTTTTCAGGTTGAATCTCACCATCACTCAATTGTCTGAGTAAGTGTTTTCTCTATAATTTGTTCTCAAGCTTTGTTTCTACTCTCTAAATTAGTTTTTCCTTGTTTTTCGAACCTGTGCAGCCATCTGATATTTCCACTTTACAACCTGACTTACATTCTTTATTCAACTTTTTTAGCAGTGAACTTCGGATGTTCGTTGACGAAGTCCAACGCAAGTGTGAGTACTACCTAAGCAAGCGCGAATGTCTTTCATCGAAGGAATGATACTCAACAGAAAATTTGTATTTTTATGTGATACTGCTGATATGCTCATTAATTTTCCTTCCTAAAATCAGGACATTCTAATTTGTATTACGGGTAGTATGGAATTCCAGAGAGCTGTGATATTTTCTATTATTTGTGCCTTGCAAATGAATTTTCACAATAAAAGTTTACAAGATTTGAGTCGCTGGTGGTTGCATAAGGATTCCAATTATATTCACAGCAAATTCTGATAAAATCTGGTTTTCTAAATTAAAAACACTGGAGAAAATTGAGATATGAAAAAAGAAGAGGCCTTTTGGGTTCAGTTAATATGTAGGTTAATTCACGAAAACTAGCCTCCCAAAAAGGTGCTTTTGAAAAGAGGGCAACCACGCTTGAAAAGCTCAAAAATGCCATTTATGTCTCAGAAATTGACCAACCACTTACACACTATTATATTCTTATGTGAAAAAATGAATCAACACAGAACCGAACAATTTGCCCTAACTGACCTGAAATATGCTTAATTACGTCACTTTTGTCTTCAAACCTTACTAATTCTTAGAGCGATGTGACTTTCCACGATTGAGATCTGTGAGAAAAGACATTTGAAGCAAATTAGGTGTGACGTGGTTGCGGGTGTGGGATAAATCAGATTGGGGTGCAAAATTTCAAATAAAGTGCACTAAACAAAATTGGAACAGGATAGAGGATCGTGCGAACCTACATATGGATTCCTCCACCTCTTTTCTTGAATAAAAAAAACTTCTGAGTGGCCATTTCCACGTCAGTAAATCATGCCTACTTTCGAGTTATGACAACGGGAAAGGATAGTTGGTGACCGTGGCTTTTCGATATGTGACAAACCCTTTTTGACAACCCCAAACCCATTCAACTGGATTGGAGGCTGGAAGGCGGGGCTTCGTGACCTAGTTAGGGCTGGAGAATGATCAGGGGGCACGCGCTGAGAGCGACGCAGACTGCGTCGCGAGCGCAAGCGGTCATCGGGTCACGAAATCCCGCCTTCCAGCCGCCAATCCATTTGAATTTTATGTTATGCATTTGCCTTACAACGCAGATTTCGAAATTGTGGTCATTACCCGCGGAACGTTTAGTCAGAGAACAGTATTTCCTCGCATCTGGTTTTGAGATGTTTGTATGAGATAAAGATCTAAAGGTATCGAATGGTCTAGCGGTTAATGTGTCGATTATTGTACAATAAATGTCGGTTTGATCTCTGTCGGTGCAAACATTTTTGCGTTCGCTTTCACAAACGTTTTTTTCTTCTCGAAAAAATGTTCCGCAGATAATGAATATAGTCTTGAAATCAGCGTTTTAAGGCGAGCATTCTGATATAAACCAAATCTTAAAAGGCCATGGTCACCAATTACCCTTCCCTTGTAAGAATGTTCAACACTAGCATTGAATAAACTTGGCAAGTGCTCAATACTGTTCCAACTTCGCAAATTCAGTTTTATCTGCGAAAAACACTTGCATATCAGGTGATGCGAAAATAATGTCTGTTTTTCTACTTTTTCTTAAAACTTTTTTTTAACAAACATTCTCTTTCGGTGCAGTTTTTGTATATTATCTGAAAGCTTAATTCATGTACTTCCTAACAATGGTGCGATTAGGCTTCCTTCCGCGTTAACACACCCGCAAATATCAAAATTTTATTGCGTTCACTTTCTTGGCCACATTTTGAGAGCAGATGAACGAAATCTCTTGTGAACACGGTTTTTGTATAGGATAGATATTGTTTATCGCATGCTTGAGTATGTTTTTCGAAATCATTTGGACTGAGATATATCGATGTTTCAAATGGATACTCGCTGCTGCCAGAATATGGGCCAAAAAATTTTCTTCTGAATAAGGCAATCGCTAGAGCTTTGCTCATTTTTGTAAGCATGAGATCAGGACATCTTATCTGCAGTTTTTTCAGGTAAGGTTAGCTTTCAGTGCATGGAAAATTGCAAATTTTCATACTTCGGGACTTCCACGCCTACCACAATTAGGCACAGAAAGTGAATAATCACGGATTTTTCTCTTTTCTTTCCGCAAAGCCTATACATTGAAGTCCTTTTTATGGGCACATATACTACTGTCTTCTCTCTATTCAACAAGCTGATTAGCAACTATTACAACAAAAATTTAAGAGAATTATAAACTCTCAAAAACGAGGTCTTTATAAGAAAAACTTTCGGATGTATTGCTTTTCTCCCGTTTGAGGTATCAGTATGGCTGGTGAACGCTAAGTAAAGAAAGGTTTACTGCCTGTGATGGTCCTGACTGCAATAAAAATTATAAAGACTGGACAAAGTTATAGTTAATCAAAGTAGAACTTTGCAAACCAGACATTATTTCTGCACCAACCATGAAAAGCTTTCATTTGAGTAGGAATGGCATGGAAGTTTCGAGATGAGATCTTGTTGTTATGAGTAGAGCAAAAGGATGCATCTTCAAAACAAATCATTGAAGAGCTTCAAGCTTAAATAGATGTATTTTTCAGTAGCATAACAGTAAGAAATATCCAGTTCCTAAAAGGTTGAAAAAAATTGCCGTGGATTTTATGGCTACAATATAGAATTACAGAATTATAATTGAGGGCCAGATTGCCTCCTACTTAGATATAGCCTGATCGCTACCTTCCCACAAAGAAGAATCATTTATTATACAGAAATATTATTGCACATTCATGACGGTGTATATACAGTCAGTTTCTATATCCTGGGAACATCGCTTTCAATAACAGATCGACCTCATTTGGTAGGTTATCATCATCATTTTTTACTTTTTGTGGTTTTGCTATTGTTGTTGTTTCGGCTTTCTCTAATTCAACGGCATTTTCCACTCGCATATTGGCTGCGGGTACCAGTTTCAATTCACCCTCTTGCTCGATTTTACGTTCCCGAGCTTTCGGCGACTTAGCCATTGGTAGTTTTTCTTCCTTTTTAGGGAATCTAAAAATGGTCATAAAGTCTAACAACGCATTTAGAAGTTGGAATGCTCTTCTTACTTCTTCGGGAATGTGCATCCAATTTTGAAGACAGTAGCTTCCGGCTGACAATCTTCACCTCTCCAAAGGAACCAATCATTTCGTCGCTGGACTACGCTCACGGTACTTCCCACAACACAACCATCGCTATGTGGGATCTGGACGTATTCCAAAAAATATTTTTGAACTTTGAAAAATGCAACTTCTCTTACTTGTTCGATTATTGAAGCCTGGCTGGCTTCACTGCATTGAAGTGGGCAGAACTCGACAATTTCTTCAAGCTCCGCTTCGTACTCCTATAAATACAAAAGTAACTTTGAGACAAAAATCTTTGCAAAAAGGTCATTTTAAGATTTAGGCCAAGGTCTGGAGTGCAAAAGGTGGACTAAAGCACTTAAGACCCGAATCCTCCTCAGTCTTTTTATTGCGTCGACCTCATTCTAACACACTAGAGTTCCATTTTTCGATCGAATTCTCACTTTCACCCGAGCGTTGTTTTTGCTTTACGGGGAAAAGGGAGAGAGATACTGGCGGCTGATGTCAGCTGGGGAACAAATTCGGAGAATCGAAAGGACATCAGGAAGCTAACAGAGCTAACAGCTATGCAATCTATTTGTAAGTGAAATAAGTGAGGTCAAAGAGTTAGGGGGGACACTACGATTACAATTTTCTCCACCCGGATTACCTGGTAGCATCCATTGTCGTTGATAGCAATCCATTCGTCTCTGATTGGTTCAAATTCGAGTTTACAGTTACCATCTCGGCAGATGTAGTTACGTAATTCTAAAAATCATTTACCTTTTCAAAAATCTTCAGATTACAACATTTCTAATCTGTCATAGTCGGTTGTGGTGTCGTTGGAAAGTTCTTAGTTATAAGAAAAACCAAGAATCTCATTTTCGTTTAATGCGGACGGAAGACCAGGAGCAATTACGGAAATTTTTCGCAAATTAATTTAAAAAACATTTACTAGCTCAGAACGTTCGTATTTTGCGTTACCAACGGAAAGTGAAAGCGTTGATGTTGTTCAATGATGCAATATGTAATTTCCACGAAAAACCAAAAAAAAAACTATTGATCATCCCATTGTAAAGCATGACCGCGACGCAACCGCTCCACAATGCACGCAGTGTGCCGCGCAAGGTGACAGGCCTAACAAACTTTTAGCCCATATTTCAGAAAAAACGCCTTGGTCTGTATAATCACAAGAGGATTTTCATACCAAAATTGTATCTACTTAGATTTTCATTTCTTTTATATTGTATGGATTTGTTTTGACAAATTGTTGAAAAGTATTGAAAAAATTTATAAAATTACAGGGCATTTAAAAATTCGTGACTATGGCTCGATCGCGCGCGACACGCACGCAACGCCCGGCTCATTTTCATCTATACTTATGTGATTTTTCTGCTTACGTATAATAGTATTCAGACACTGGAAGTGACCGAGCTGAGCGTTGAGGTAATGCCTTTTTTGTATGAGTGTTTTGAGCTCCTGTGGGTGCAAAGTCCACAATCTAATCCGTCGTCAAGATTTTGAAAATGACCTGTACGTAACTGCTATAGCTCATATGAGTCATAAAAAATAATTGAAACAGCATCAGATGAAATGTCAAAATCATTCACACTTGAACATTGTTGCTTTATGGGGCTTTCCTTGAGTTGTGAATTATACTCTGAGAGCCTCTTGAGACTGTAGAAAATTTACTCACCTGTAACTGTAGCAAAAATTGTAGGGAGCGCCAAGAGGCAACAGATTACTGACGCAAACATGCTCTATTTGCTATGATCACAATTTTACAAGCAGACAGTAGTGTAATGTTAAGAGTCCAATTCCTCAAGGAAAGAGGTTGACGCAAATGTGGATGTAGACAATCCAGAGGAAGATTTCAACTGAGGGACATAAAAGGGTCATAACGGGAATGTGGGCGTATGGCCCAATTTGTTCGACGAGCGAAAACTCGTGAAACAAACACACAATGTCGAAAACTCGACGCCTAAATCTCAACGTTCGTTCGGGATGAAATCGAAATTTTGTGGTTAATGGAGCTGTGAAGAGGATTTAGCGTCGGGTCAGAATGACTCACATGTTATCTTAAGGCCTAGTTGGCTAAAAGAAGTTGGGAAAGGGATTAAAAAAAGCGAAACTTGAAATAAATTGATTATCGTAGATATTCGTTTACCATATGCACACAAGTAATCAACATCAGTATAATATACAGTAATTTTTTTCAAAGTGAACATTCGACAACAGTTCTTCATCCATGGCGATATAGTGAGTTATGGACGGTTGGAATGCTTTAATGGCTGCTCTAAGGGCCGAGCATACTTCACGTGATTTCAGTTGCGACGCAATTTGGCAATATTCCAACCGTCCATAACTCACTGTAAGCACATTTTAAATGTGCAGAAAATAGGTTATCTTATCAATCCACGTAAGTTATACACATATGCATGTGCAGTTTGCTAGTGTTGGATCCGAAGACTTCTGGCGAATTGCCAAATCGCGTCGCGACTAAAATCGCGTGAAGTATGCCCGGCCCTTTAGGTCTAATGAAGCCGTGAATTTTTCTTTTTCCATTTTTTGCCTCTAAAGCAATTCCCTTTTGTTATAAACTTCATTCCTCCAAAATCACAAATTTCACTCAAACATCAAATCGAAAAAAGGCTTAATCTTCTCGTTACTCCACAAAACCTCCGTAATTTGTTGTTTGCTCAACAAAGCAAATTTTGGATTAGTTTACCTGACGGAGCAACTTGCGATTGTATCAACACTACCTCATGATATTGGTAAATATCAACAATCAAATCTTGTAAATAGATCTGAAAACAACTAGAGTTTACGTTCTTACAGTTTGACATATTCTCTTTGTTTCTTTCCTGCTTTTTCGCTTCTACTTGGATATTTGTGTATCTTTTGATTATTTAAGTAAAATAGCATATTTGGGTTTACACCCAGAACATAATATGTATTAAGTTGATTATTCGCTCAATCATATTGAGGAATCAATTCATTCGACAATTTTCTCAGCCATCTTGCCTGTAGGGGCATCTTTGGTCCATGAATATTTACGCCTGAAAGTGAAAGTGTACTAGAAAGTATGTTTTTGCATAAAAACAGTGGATGTCCTTAGAAAGGACAACAGCTAATTCTGCACAGGTGGCTTGCAAAGCAAGCTGGATATCGTTTTTGGGGAAAAACCAAAGAAGATATCGTTTTTGCGAAAGAGCATAACGCTGTCTTTCGATCTGCTGCCGGCACGCTGCCGGCATGCCGCCAGCAGATAAACAAAGGGTTTGTTTACAGCGAAGTGAAGATGAAATGGCACCAAACTAGATGTGTAGATGGACAGTGGGGAGTTGGGACTATGTATGAAAAATTATGAAAAAATTATGTGAACTAAGGATATGGCAGACTTTTTTCGAGGTTAGGTGGCTTTGAAGCCACCTGGATAGCCACCTGAGGTGGCTTATCGCAAACAAAGTCATATAATTCCTACTCTTCACATAACTTTTCCAAATTTTTTACATAAAAGTAACCTATATCTAATATTTTACAAAACAGCTCTTGTACCTTCCCGAACCCTCTCCTCCCCGCCTAGTTATAGCCCGGGCTTAAAAAAAAATATAAAACTGATGCTCCAAGCTGCGGTTGTGCGCGGCAGACACAGCATGCCGCCAACCCGGAGAATACAAACAGTTACTAGTTCTTATTGTCTATTTATTGTCGGTCTTGTATTTTTCATTCTTTTTGTTTCCATATTTGATTTGTTCGTTAGTGTGTCAAAAAGGATGTCGTACTTTTATGGCGAAGTCAAAAGAGACTTCTTTTCAACGAAAAGAGCAGCACGTAGTACAGGTGTTTTAGACAGAGGGTTTCTCTTGAATGGAGCGCTTTGAAAATCAACATTAGACCACTTAAGCAATGACGAATTTTGTTCTAATTACGCATTTAGTTTTTCAACTCAAAAAACGCTCACAACTCGGCGACCAGAGGCGCTTGGAGGATAACGAAAACAGATCTAGAAACAGCATTTTTACTCTTTGAAATCGTATCAGTTTCATGTGAAAAAGCCACTTCGACCAAAAGGACCTCCTTTGTGAGATTACCTCTTGCAGCACTTGGACACATTTTAACATTTCCACCTCACTGATCCAGAATGTCACATAAATTTGGAAAAGCTTTGGGCAGCTATCATCGTCTATGGTTGTGCTTTTCACATGCATCATTTTCCATTGGCAGACGTTGATAGGAATTGCATGACGCATTTGCCCAGGGCGACTGCTGTGCATTCAGCAAAATTGGGTATTTCCTTTGCGTGTGCCGTCTCATCTGAAACAACTGCATGACTGCTGGTGACATTCACGAAACAATGAAGAAGAAGAACAGGAAACGTAACCGTGCTTCACCGTGAGTGGTTTTTACAGTATCCTTGACCCATGAACACCAAACAGCCCAGAAATCATAGTTATTCGGACTGTTTGGTATCCACTCGTTCACGTTCTTCTATCTCCTTTATAAATTTGCCGATAAGCGAAAAAGTGGTGCCATGAGTTACTACTGCCTAGTTACTTAGCTGTTAATAACAAAACATTATCAGTTTATCAACAGAGTAATCGATGCAAAAGTAATTCTACTGTGAGCGGTCGGCCAAGTTCCTCGTCTCCTGGACTTCCTTCTCCTTGCTGTCATCTCGCGCTAGATTATTGACAGAAATTTGCAACCATGATTGTAAAATGTCAAATCGCTACCAAATAACTGATCCAGCATGAGTTTGGTTCCAGTCCGAATTGCGATCGCCGTCCTTACCTAACTTTTGGCGCCAGAACATTGCTTGCATTGCTTTTAGCACAGATGCATGAAGTAGCTTACTGAAATCGCAGTTATCAAAAGAGTCCATAGCAGTTCAACTTCGTTTCTAAACAAGAGGCACTTTCCAATTTTAGCGCGAATACTCGGGCAAGCCGCGGAATCCAAAAGCAACTTTTTTGGCAATAGTTAGCAACACAGATAATGATATGCCACCAATTTCTGTGGGAAATAAACAGCAGCCAGAGGAAAGAAACTGGAGATTGTGCAAGCAATTTTTTGAGAAGTTCAATGCTGAGGAATGTGAGCCACCTACAATACATAGTTGATTCGTTGACCGCATGAACTGGACATCACTGTGGAGCGCGCAGCGAGTCAAAATACTTGCCTCAGTACAAAGTCGCCGTTGTACAAGTCGTGCTCTCGCGACAATTTAGCCGTGCCGCGCCTGGTCCGCAGCCTTTGAGCAGTCCGTGCGCTCGACGAATCGATAGTACTAACGATATGACTCAAAATTTAGGAGTATACGCGTGCTTCAGAGAACAAAGTTTGAAAAAACTTATGTACCCTATTTTCAGGTGTATAAGCCGCATCCTTTTTGTTCTAAACGCGAGCAGACCCAGGCATGCCGCTGCGCATGTGCCTCGCGAAGCGGTCGCTTTCTCGCACATTGCTCTCACTTAACGCGCCCCATCGTAACAGGCAGTCTTTTGGCGTGTGCGCCTTTAGAGTGAAAAGGGTGCGTCTTATACACCTGAAAATAGGGTAGATGAAAAATGTGTTCGACTTGTTCCCAATCTAGGCTGGCAATTGCTAACACTAAGAGTGGCAAAAACTCCAATTCGCATGAACTCTTGACTACTACATAAATCTGTTCTACACATAATGATAACAATATAATAAGAAATTGCATTCAAGACTTCTCTTGTCCTATTTAGTAGAGTCCGGATAGCAACGATAGTAACCGCTTGCCGCGCTGAGGAAGAAAGTGAGCTCTGAGTGAGTGAGCTATGCAGTTGGTGCGACCAGAGGTAAAGTCGAGAAATATGAAAATAACAAGAGTAGACTTTTTTCACGAGTGGTATACAGAAGGTGTAAGATCATGTAATCCGAACTGAACGATTCATGCTCTCGCATTTTCTGTAGTTCATGTACCTTTCAAACCTTCTTTCACTCCTTTTCACATCGTTGACGAGGCCTAAAAAGCTTTCATGTGGGCACGCATTGACGTATACTGCTATTATTTATGCATAGAAATACCTATAAAGGACGAGGTGCTTACTTTTTTCTTGGAAGGAATAGGCAATATTGCATATTAGTTCACCTCAACATAAACAATAAACACTGACAAGTTTTGCGCATTTTCTCTCGAAATATAGCTAGTGTTGTAAAGCTTATATATTAAGCTAATTGTCTGTTTGAGCGTCTGTATGTCTGTCTGTATGTACGTATATGTTCAAAAAGAAAAACCCATTTCTGCGATCTGGACCGGACTTCTGCACATCAAGGAGGGACGGCCGTTGTAAGCTACTATCGTTAAAGATCGATATCGATTTATTGATTAGGATGTGAGTGAAGGCAGGGGAATGTGTGTTTATTATGCTGCTGATTACGGATATATACAATCTTCGGACTCATCTGTCTCTATAGGTTTTACCCAATTTTTTATAAATGCAAGCGGGACCCTGGAATTTAGTACAGGGAGTAAGTGAGTGTACTAATTAAGGTGCAACCGTTCTACCTGTTGTTCATCGATTTATCGATTTTTCTAAACCTTGGTGGATCGTGGGGAGCTGGTGCAGAAGAGGCGGCCAGGAAACATGCTGATTACGAAAATACATTGAAGAAGGAGACTGGCATGTAGGAGTGGGACAGAGACATGGAAATGTTGTGTATCGTCGATTCGTTGACCGCACGGACTGCTCAAACCCCGCGGATTACGCGCGGCGCGGCTGAATTGTCGCAAGAGCACGATTTGTACAATGGCGAATTTCGGGCAAGCGTTCTACTCGCGTGCTCCGCAGTGAAGTCCAGTCTGTACGGTCAACGAATCAACTATAGATTGGAACGCGAGGTGGGTACGTGTGCTGGTCGACAGGAACCGAACAAAGCCCCTTATCTTAGCCAAGCCTGATTTGAAGGAAAGGAAAATTTTTGTGGTGCATGCAGCATAAGAAGAAGTGTGGCTGAGAGAATTTTTCTCACCTAATTTTCATTTTAGCCTCAAATTTATCGTGACTTTGTAGAACATGCATAAAAGTTTTTATTCCCCGTGAAAATCTCACCTTTATCTCCCACTATTCTGAGAGAACTCTAGATGTGAGCTTCTACTTATTTCTTTTCTTCCGAACAAAACAACAGTCAAAAACGTTTGAGCTGAAAGCTGTTTTAGTAAGTGTACCGATTATCAGTGTGTGTATTCACAATCACTTCTTTTTGGCGAAGAACGGGGTAGAGAACGATGTGTGAGAACAAATAACGTAACCCCAATTTCAAAAAAAAACTTTTTTTAGAGTAGTTATGTTTTGGAATAGATTCCGTACTGAGAAATTATTAGAAATAAAAAAAATTTCATGTGTACATCCTCCGCATTATAACAAGAAAATGCTTGCTTCGTAAATTGCCAAACCGTTTTTTTTCATTCAAATAGTTTTGGCCTGTATATACTTCTTGGACAATTTTTTTTACTTTATATGAACTTCGTTGTTAAGATTGATGAAGCAACTAGGTGACTGAAAAATGCTAGCGTTCGTCCGGAATAGTGAATTAATTGAATAGAACCATTTTTTATGTTTTTCATAAATTAGACCATGAAATTGATTATCATCGCCATAATCAGGCAAAGCCAAAATTCCTTTGCAGGATTTTCTAAATGCACTTTATAGCCTCTGTAGTTGAAACGATTACTGTGCAGCTACACATCTAGCAGCATAAGGAAATATAACTGATCAAAAATTGTTTCGATTCCGTTGCCAAAGAGTTTCCCAAATTCCGCCTGCTTTATTTGACTTGAGAGCGACTGAAAGGACTGAATCATAGCACTATATTTTTTGTGAATAAATATGCCACAAAAGCACTGGTATTTTCCACGTACTCTTATTTTGTAACCTGAGCATGTTGTATCGCTAAGTGTAGTGCTGTCCTGCGGAGGACAGGAAACGCTATTTATCCGTCTGTCATCAACTCAAAACCCCAGTTTATTGTCATTCGAGTCTTCAGAAAGTACCAGATAACGTGCGTTGGCTTTCTTTCTGTCTAGGTTACCACTTGATGAGTTTGGTGGCCTTTGCTGGATATCGGACCAAAATATTTACACTTTGTTCTTACCTGCATTTTCGTGGGTTTTTAACCTTCAAAATTGTTGTTTTGAATTTATTCCAAGGCCGCAAGATTGAGCAACTCTGCAGCTAATATATCTCCTTCTAAAATTCAAGTACTTTTGGAATGTTATGAACTCTTATTAGTATTGATATTCATGTGGCCATAAAAATTGCGCCTCTACGTACACTCCTGTTCTGTCAACCAGGTTATTATGGTGGACCTTTATTGACCTTATGTTTCGACAAATTTCGACATCACATTTGTGATGTCCCCTCATCATCGCGGACTACTTACGGTGGAATATAGGGACCTCCGAGAAGATTTGTCGAAACATAAGGTCAACAAAGATCCACCATAACAACCTGGTTGGCAGACAGCTAGTACTATGAAGTCTTCCACAACAACCCTGCAGTGCTTGTTCCCTTTTCAAAGTATAGCGTTTTTATGGAACGCTGCATACTTTTCGGTTTTTGAGTCACTTTTATTATTTCATCGTTTCGTGATTATTCTCTTGATTAGCTGTCAGCACAATGCGAGCCTGGAAAAGTTCTCAGACGAAGCTCCCACGTTAGTTTCCCATGGGGCAAGTCGCAAATTACAGAGATCCATGCTAGCACTTCCCCTATGGCAGTGCCTCTAGAAGTCATTTCCATTCCATATCTCACCTCAAATTTTGCTTCTGTAGGGAGCTTAGTTCTAAGCCTTTTTCTTACCCACAAAACTGTGGGAAGAACCTAACTTTTATAGAGTTTTCACAGCTTTAACTCGGATATATTGATCTTATCAAAAGTAAAGCAAACAAAAACTATCCCACTAGCATGAGCGTCGTGCGTGCATATAAGATTAAAAGATATCTGTCAAAATGTAACACCTTGAATATTTCAGCAGAAACTTTATGATTTCGTCAGATGTAACGTGAACCATTTGAATTTACGATAGTTATGGGTATGAAATGATTATTAGCTTGGCTAAATTGGTTTCGGTCATATGATGCCTTGTATATCTCTTACATACTCTTCAGTGGTAATGGAGAGAACCAAAGAGGATTCAAAAAGTAGACCTGTTTCTAGTAAAATTCACTTTATTTAGAGACGAAGCTATATAAAAATTGTATTAAACTCCGAAAAGATAACCAAGCAATGAAGAAAGTCTTTGGCGTAAGAGGTAATATAGTTAACAAACAATGTTTGGACCATATGAGTGTCTCTCGGTGATATTAGGAATGCCTAAATATCATTGCTCTCGAAATGCGAATTTTTCGAATTTGGAAAAAAAGAAAATCACAGGCATGCAATAGAATTTTCGATTGTGAACGTGGAGTGAGAGCAAAAAAGATAGCTAGTAAGAAATCAAAAAGCGATATCTCGCAGAATTAGCGAGAAGTAACAGCAAACCAATTCTAGGCTCACAATCATCACGAGCCAAATTAGGTTGACTATAAATTCTTTCTTTGGCAGCTAGTAGAGATGCAGCAGGCAGATTTTTGTTTAATGTTTGGTATCCACGAAAAGAGCATTTGAATATCAAAAGGCACATTCCATTCAGGAGAAAATATTAGGTGGGTCCGAAAATTCGCGCCGTTTTTTAGACCTATTCTAAAATCGTTTAAAATGAAGATAGACAAATTCATTCAGCAATTTCCTATGCAGAATTTCTTCCTCTTTCCATATGCTTACGTTGTGACTGCTTCTATGAGCGCTGAGACTAGAACCCTTCATTTTTACCATGTCTGAATTTTGCTAATTTTCATAATCTTCATTTTAAACTTTT